TTTGTAATTAATGAAATGCTTGGAATAAATAATTGAGTAGCAATTCGATTGACGGGTAAAAATTGAAATGGAATAGATAGATACCAACTTGCTACATATGTTAACAATATTTTATCAAATATATCGATATGTATTGAATAATTAGTTGAGAAATTTTTTGGTCTATCTGGATAAAGTATATAAAGATTAAATTTTGTATCACAATCACGTTTTGGTACATATGTTATTTGTTCATAATATGATGAAATTTGCCTTTGTTCATCGATAAGTAGAATTATTATTTGAAAAACAGCAATAGTATAACTAACAGTACGATATGCTAATTGAAGTGTTAAACTGATACGTTGATTTTGCCATTGACATCGATTACCGAAATAACTAGGTGGACAAAGACATTTTTTTGTTTCGTTTATATTGAAACGAATAAGAATTCCTCGATTACAATACCATATTTCTAAGTTTTCATTTTTTGAAGTAATAAGTGTTTTCTTTTCAATTGTAGAGTTATTTTTTCTTGAGAATATATTTGATATTGCCGGGAAATAATCCAGTCGTGATGATATAAAAAATGATTTTTCTGATCCCTTTATAGGGGAAGTTTTCGGTAAAAAAGGGCAAATATTATTTCTAATAGCCACTAATAAAGAGAGTCTTTGGACATGACAATAGACTTCATTTGGTAAAAAGCAGACACCTATATTTGACGATTGACTCAACGGATTCCTACATACTTCTTCGAGAAAAATACATTGAGTATCAGAATAGAAACATTCTCCAGTATTGTTGTTAATTGCATTACTAAAAGAGATTTCAGATTCAGTGTCAAAAATCTTACAATCTAAGTGTTTTTCCATTAAGTTCATTAATGGCAAACAAAACATGTTTGTCAATAACATTGTTGAACAATGCTCGTAATTCAATGGACATAGTATTTTTGGACAATTAAGTTCATCAATACCATTAAAACAATTTCGAAAAGCATTACATCGAGTATAAGGATTATTGCATGGCCAATATTCACAATTTGTTTCATCGGTTTCATTCAATTCTAATAATAATGAGTCGTTTATACCATCACATAAGAGACCAAACGGTATATATCCATGTAAAATATTACGTTGAGTTTCAGTCATTTCATCCTCATTATTTTTGCAATCAGCCTTGCCATTGTACAATGCTATTGGAGATAAACATTTGTTTGGTTCAGATTTACATGTAAATCGTCGTGAATCATTGAGTTGACAAGTAGGAAATACTTCATCTTCACCAAAATAACAGTCGAAAACACCATCAACAAGTCGATGTATTGAAATACATTTCAATGAAAGTGGACAATGGAAAAGAGATGGATGTGAACATGATTGATCTATACCAGTTGTTGAGCAACGAGTAAATACATCATCTAGAATCTTTAGCAAATTGATATTAGAAACTAATGACTCGTTCGAAAATTTACTAAAAGGACAGCAAGTAAGTCCATTATTTAGACCAATATTAATGGCGCAATTGATCAATGTAGGACATCCTTTTAGATTGAAACAAATAAAATCCGGATTCTTATACATGAAAAATTCTTTAACTAATCGATTAGGTAAATAGATAAAGTAGAATGGAATATAAATGTTGGGTATTCGAATCTTAAAAAGCCATTTTGATAAACATTTTTTGTTTATGGATTCACAGGAAATCAACGTATGTGATGATGTTGAATTTATTAATATTGGTTTTAGAAAGACTAAACTCGATTCCAATGTAGAGTCCAATATTTCTTCCAGATATGGATCGGTAATATAGAAAGGCATCTTTCTTCGAGACGAAATTACTTGATGTGAATGTTGGCCATTGAAACACGTTTGTCGGTCTTGCTTACTAATGTTAGAAGGATAATACTAACCATCACCACATGGAACAGAACGAAGATATCGACTAGTGCGCTCTTCACATCGAAACGTCGGCAACTTAAAACAAGTACTTTCAGAATAATAAAGTTTTTCTTCATATAATTCCATTTCATCAGTACCATCAAGACAATCTGCACTAGCAGGTCCATCCATTATAAATTCTAATGGAATACATTGTGCACCATAATGACATCGATATGTATCATGAGGACATTCACTTATTTCTAATGTTTGACAATATTGCTCATCTTCTCCATTATCACAATCAAATTTTCCATCACAAATTTCACGCCAATCAAGGCACATCAATAGTGAATCATGATAACAATTAGTTAGAAAAGGATAACATGTACCCATATACGAATGTTGAAAAACTTTAGGACTTTTATCACGAGTAAAAAAGTTTAGTCGAACAATATCATCAAACGGTAGTGATAATTCATAATTAAATTTATATTGACATTTTGGACCAAACCAAGGTAATGAACAATTGTAAAAAACATTCATTGAATTTACATCATCCATTTCATATTGTTCGGCAATATTAATCGGTGCTGACCAGTTGAGTAATTGTGCACTTGTCACACCATATTTGTGTAATTCATTAAATGTAATCATTTTGTTGATATTATTGAATGATATATTTGATAAATAATCTTGTTCTTCATCTTTATCTGGTCTTATACAATAGGGAATGAGATGATTAATTGGTGAGTGAGAATAATCAATATATTCATCATAATCTGTCAAATGAGCATAGAGACAGTCGAAGATAGAGTTAAACATTGGTGACTCATTTGAATGATATACAGAATAATGAGCATTGAGTACATTGAATAATATTAAAATTATCAAGAGTCGTACAGACTTCATAGTTGATCGTTTTTTTTATGAATATAATGATTTTTTTCTTTTAGTTTTTATAAGCATATTATAGGGTAGCATATGTTTTATGTTATACACAAACAGGAAATTCAAATAGTTTCATCTAAAATTTTGTTGTAGATCACGGAAGCTGCTTATAAAATTATTCTGAAAAGTATGACATACATTGAAGTCAACATATTAATCATATACACTTTTAATGATTGTACTTTTATCAGTTAGACAAACTAAATGATATTGATTTTAATTTAATCCTTTGATTCTGAGGTTTCTTTTTCTTTCAAAAAGTTCTTCAAAACAAATTTATCACACTAAGTCCAATGTCGTATACATCACATTTGATAACGTGTATCGATACGTTTTTTCTCCCATTTGTTTATATGACTACAAACCACTTAATATCTCTGTACAGTTTTCCTTATTTCTATTTCTGGAACTAGAGATGAAAAATGGCGTGCAGTGAGACGTATGGTTTTGTCTTTGATAGTCGAATGATCGATTGAATTCGAAAATCGTCAAATTCAGTCATTTTTTATGCTTCACTTTGAATAACATATAGAAGTAGAATATCAGAAGCAGGCATGTCAGAACGTAGGAGAAAGCACATAAGTACACACATGGTAATGTAGAACGATGATGCAATAACGTTTCTAAGGTAAAAGAAAACTAGAGGAGACTTTTCGACCAAATCTAAATAGTATTATAATAACGGTGATATGAGCAAAAGTTCAACTCGTATATAAACAGACTCCCGCTTTAAAGGATTAAAATTATAGATATATATATATATTTCTTTTGTAATTATCTATTTCTTACATTATACATAACATGAACAATGGAAATTTTTCTTTGTATTTCATGAGTTAAGCAACATGTAACAGAATTATATAACTGAAAGAAAAAGAGAAATGTTATAATTCTTCTAGAATTTCATGTTTTTTTTAAGTGCTTTCTTATCAAAAAAAAATATTTTATACAAAAAAAAAGAATATGATAAATATATATCAGGAAATCATAAAATAGCAAAAACATATGACGGAAAAAGTAAGACTAAAAACTTAGTTCACAAATAGTTCCATCGTATGTTCTCATCAGTATCCATTTTGACAAACGTATATATAGTCGAACAGACTAATGTGATACTAAAAAACGAGATGAAACTAATTAGAATTAAATTCGAGTTTATTCTATTGAATATTCAATACATATACAATTGAAATACTACGTTTCTGTGCAAAGCTTATTTTTATAAGAAAAAAAAAACAATTAATATCTTATTAAATGTTTGTTGATAATTAGAAAATAAAAGGTTGGATCGGCAGTATTAACAAACATTAAACTGTAATTTTGCAAAATCTTCTGCTTCATCGTATGATTGAGCTGTTTATAATAATATCTATTCTTTATGTGATATTTTTTTATATTCATAAGTATTCTGAGTTATTGAGATTAACATTGAATAATTTCGTCGTTTAACGTGATAAGCTATTGAGATAAGCGTATGTCTATCTCAAATTCACTTTCTATCAGCCATAAATCATAATTCTGTCACCAATTTCGTATTAATTAATTTGGTTGTCAAAAATCAATTTTTTCTAATATAATTTTCTTCTATTTATTACTGCATAAAGATGAAAGTGCTAAAAAAATTGATCATTTCATTCTTAAGTGTTATTATTGTCGCATCTGGAGATGAATATTCATGAACAGCTATGATATAAAATTATTTAAATGAAAGCAGTCTCAAAATATAACTGAAGATATCATGTTTTTTTTTTGACTTTCAGCGATTTAAAAGTATCATCGATACACATTTTTAGAACATTCTTTGTTAAATAGGAAAAATCGGTTTATAAAAAATTATTGTGTACATATGTGTGTGTGTTTTTTTTTATTTTGTCGGATGTGCATGAAAGCAAAAAAAACATAACCATTCATTACCATTTACCTTTTTATGTACGTCATACTTTTTAAAAAGGAAAAAACGGATGAGCTTTTTTTTAACTAAGCTAAGTGTGTATTTTCCTTAAAACAATTAATATACAAAAATGATAAATGACGTAGTCTGACGGAGACATAAAGAGTAGCTGTCTAATTCGACTTCGAATATAAATGAAAATTTTGAAAACTTGTATTCCGATCAGCAAAAAAGCAAAAGATAAAATTTTTATAAATTGTTAATTGTGAAAGAAAACGAGAGAGTTATAGAAATTTGAAAGAAAATGACTATATAAGTATTTCGGCTTTGGTATATTTTTATAGTGTTCATAATTAAAATGGGACTTGTGGGGAAGCATAGAATATGAAATAAGATGAGCATTTTTTTTTTATTAAATCACAAGTATATGATTTCCAGGAAAAATTGAATGAAGTTTGGAGAATTTGTGAAGAATAACTTGGTTTTATTGAGAAAGAAAAAATTATGATCAACGTGTATATGAATAACGTGAAAAGTAAATTTTGTGACTAGTGGAACTTTTCCTCGTATTTGGAAATATGATTGTAGCGAAAAATATCAGAGAGAGGGTGTGGGTGGGTGTGGATGTAGTTCTCCCCATTCTCACATTTATGCCCACACCTCACACCCATCTGAACTCGTAACTAAAAATACAAGGCGGCTAGCATCACATCATTAGAACAACTTTAAGCTCAAATTATAGTAAAATATAGAACCCTCTAAATATGGGTACATTGATATTGGAATTAATTGAGAGCAGATCATGTGATGACGCTCAACTTTGAGAAGATTTCATAATAATTGAATCAGAAAAAGAAGAAAAATGCAAAACAAATGTTAGTGATGTGCGTGTTTGTGTAATATTTGAGAAAGAAACAACAAGATCATTACTATTCATATTATGAATATCGGTAAATGATTCGATCTGATTCAAAAGCTCTTCTCTTATTTTTCGAATTTTCTGAGCATGTTGACAACACTATTTTCAGTGCAGGTTAACAGTTTATAGTCATAGTAACCAGGACAGCACTAGTTATTCATGCCTTACAGGATTCTATTCTGAACTATATTATTCTTCAAAAAAAAAAAGAGAAAGTAAAGAATGCCATTAACTATTTACAACACTTTTCTTTTGTTGCTTTATGTTCACAATGATGAGCAGACCGGACGAAAACAAAAGAAAATGAAAAGAAAAAAAAAATCTTTTTCCCATATTCTTACATTTGTTTGACGAAGCATATACTATTAAAAAAGAGTCGTATATAATAACTAGAGCATAATAATTTCTTGACTATAGTAATAACGATTTTTGAGACTCGTACTTCTTTACAGTAATCCTTTTAAAAGTAATATTATTCGATGACTGTCGAGATTAATGTCGATCATTTCAATATTACTCATTTGAAATACTTTTACGATAAAAAACCTACTTCTATTTAAAAAGAAGAATGTGCTCTAATTTAGGCTATTTGATCTCATAATGAATGACATATACAAAGGCTCGACGCTTAATTGCGTTTCTATTATTATATTTTTCTATTCATCGTATGAAAAGAGGATGAGAGAAGACAGCTATGTCATTGTTCAAAAAAAGATTTGAGGTAGCACTTTATTTTTATTACGTCTCTTCTAGACATTTGTACTTTGTCTACTATATGTGAACAATATGAAGAAAGTTATTAGTTAGATTTTCTCTGTCAAAAATTTTCTTGTGTCACTCTTCGCATTATTGGAAAAAATTGGTTATGCGATCTGTGTATACACGTGATGATCTCTTGTTCAGATTACAGACTTTTTTGTGATCCTCCATCTCAGCTAGATAATAAGAAAGGTATCTTTGTCTCGTAACACTAGTACCATCATGTCATCGTGTCAACATACATCTTTATTCTTCTTCTCGACTTTCTTTCTTAATAGGTTTTTGATATTATTTAATGTATTCTTTCTCTTTCTAATAGTTCTTCCAACCACGCAAGATGTTGGACTTTTTGTAATAAATATTCTTAAGAACATTATATTGTGCGGTATTTCTTGATGCTTCGATGTGATGAAAAATCAATTTTAGGATTATTTGTTGTTTTTTTAAATCCAATTTTCTATTTCTACAAAATAACCTTCTTACGAAGGAACTACCTGTGGTGACACATTCCGTTTTGTTTCATTTATATCTCATTCAATCAACTATATTGTGGTGTGGATGGGTGTGGGTGTGGGTATGGATGTGTGTGAAAAAAAGGTAAAACACACACCCACACCCCAATATAGAAAATTACAGCTAGCATATTGAAATTCTCACAACAATATCTAGACTACTATGCCTATATGTAATAAAAATTTCAGATTTCTATGACTTTTCGAAACTGAATTGCAAGTTTTATGATTCTTCTGAGTTTCACTAGAGAAAATTAGAAAAAAAAAACATTCATAACTTTTGCAAGAAGAATCATGGAGAAAAATTTTCTGATTCTTTTTACTATCACAATATAGTTGATTGAATGAGATATAAATGAATCAAAACAGAAGGTGTCATCTTGAATAATTTTCTTGTTAGCTAAAGAATTCATAGTATATACTGAAACTAAGATTCTTGTAGATTACATTTTAGAATTTATTTTCTATTGATTCAAATCAAATGATCATATAAAGAATTAGTAAATTTTCCAATGATAGTGAACATCTTTAACATGTATTCTATCGTCTTTTAAGCTGTTCTTTGTTTTTCTGCTAAACTATATAGAGCATCTTCAACTTATGAGATAACCGTTGTATATGAACC